TTTTGGTAACATCGTCCACCAGAATCGACTTTAGGTCCAGCATCTAATGTACAAATGCTATCTATTCTGAGAGCTTTTTTCCAAAACGATTCCCTTTAATTACGCATATATTACCCTTGATGAAAACATGTGAAGTATTATTATTATTATTATTATCCACAAACAGATTTTTCAGACTGAAGTGATGTTAAGAAACTATTAAGTTTCACCAGAAACGGGACTATTCGGAAGAGTTTCAATGTTTACTTTCACTGTACTTAAACAGGTTTTGTAATATTCAGAAGAATACCAAGCGTATTAAGTTGATTGAGGATAAAAATTAGAGAAGGACGAAAATAATAACAAAACATGTGTAAGTTATTTTTTTCTTTGTAGAAGCGCATAATATTGCACGAAAGTATGTGTAATACACATAAAATTTCAGAGGAATCACTAATATAACAAGATATGACGGCACAATAACAGTTTGCTGGTCATTAACTACAGTTTACTTCTTTTTGTATCGTTAGGCTAATTTAAAGCGGTTGTAAAACAATATTTTATGTTCTACTCGAGGCTTCATGCAACAATATTATTTCACATTCTGCTGGAAAATGCTGTTTCCTCAAGTTCAATATTACAGGTTTGACATCAGTGCAGGAGTGTAAATTACTATGACGAAAAGTACGGATTCCCAGACGAACTCTAAAAATTCAGGAAGTATAGGCGAAAAGGTTTTTAATGACTTAAGAGGAAAGGCGCAGGAGGATTATGGTTATAAATTTGGCAATGGGTAAGAGAATGAAATCAGTGCTAAGTCAATAAAACTCATTTAAAGGCTGCAAACAAGTGACGAGCAATAAGGAACCCACAAAATAGTTGGAGTTGATAGTTTCCTACAGTTTAGACCGGGTTATGGTTTATCAGGATGTAAACACATGATCGGTGGAGCAAAGGCAGTTAATGGTGATGTTTTAGTCGTAATCTGTAAGGATAGCAAATATAATACACCAATAGTAGTGTTGATGGATCTTTGAGTGTCCGGAGTCCGAAATATGCATGCAATAATCGGCATATACAGCTGGCCTTGTGAAATCAGGCACTTCACTAAGGACAGTCTCCCTAAAAATCTCTGCCCTTACGTTTCTAGATGCAAAAATGGTAGGAAAACCAATCTTTTGAAAGCCTCCTTTACAGTGAAAGAGTTCATAGGTGTTTACTAGAAGGTATGAGTCAAGCACATTGGAGGACAACCAACTTTAGGTTATCAGGACAAGAGAATGGTTTTTTAAAGTTACCAAGCAGTGTAATTGTATCACCTTGTTGATTAGAGATTCGGTATTATTTGACATTAGTTTTGTGTAGGTTGCGTATTTTTATCTTGGAGATCCATAATATGCATCTGATGAGTTGTTTGGTAAGTCAAAGGGGAGAAGAGGAGGAAGTTGGAACACAGGCTTTACAACTATGCTCGATTGATTTGTAGTTAATACAGTTGATAAGAGAGAGAGGTATTTAGAGATCGATTTGGTAGGAGAAGCATGTGAGGTGGAGTACGGTAGATATCGTTGTTTAAAACTATCCTATGATCTCGGAAGAAGGGATATGAAAATCATTGGAGGAAATAAGTATGGATCATTAGGAAGATCCAAAAAATTAAATCCAATGGGGTTTTGAAGATGAGATTTCGTGGGCTTTTGTCATCCTCTCCTTCTTACTTTACCATATCTTCTCACAACTCGCACACTAAGGGAAATACTTCATCGATTTCGAGGAGTTGTGAGAAGTGATGTTAGAACTTCTTAGTCATTCTCTGTTTAGAACCTTGGGACGGATTTTTGCAATAAAAAGATCCATAAAAATGTTCTCAAAGACGTCGACACTGACTCGGACTTTAGAAGTTTTATTGGGTTTGTAAAAACACCTCAACTGACCCAAAATGAATCTGTGGGCCTCTGCAATACAATAACTTCCTTCCGAAGTTTTCAGCACAATCGCAAATGATCAAAGGCGCCCTGACAAAGCCAATCACCGGAAAGATCTTTTATAAATCACGAGGAACAGATAATTGGAATTGACGTCGGTATCACAACACCTATATAAAATCTTCCAGGCATTGCAGAAATCCCTAGGGTTTCTATCGCCCTACAGCTTCCATCACAAACACACCGCGCATCTTTCCCAACAACAAACGTTAACTGCAACCGTTGCTAGTGAATAAAGCCGTCTTTTCGAAACACCGATGTGATGAAAAACATCCGCTAAGTCTTCGACAATGGTGCGGAGGTCAGCGTCCTTCTAGTGTACACGAACAATCGTTTCAAAGATTCACTTTGCTATTTACAAGCAGTCAATAGGAAACTGGTCGTCACTTATGGCAAAATTTACTCTTAACTTAATATGGGTTTGTTTAGACACGTTTGCTGCCTTTACTTTGTTAGATGTGGTAATGCCAATCAGTGCTGTTGACTTGCTACAACACCATAACATACACGCCGGCCCATGCAAACAGTAATAATAATAATAATAATAATAATAACTAAGTTATCTGTTTGTCGAGTTTTATTTATGGTTGTTGGTTGTTTCCAGTCGTTGCTAAGCACATAATATAAAATAAAAACAGAGTTTTACTTTTAGGAATAACGGTTTAAGAAGGTTAGATATGCACCTTGCCATGGGTAAGTAACAGTTCTATTACTAATCATAAAAACAAATACAATTTAATTCCTAAACAATATTACACCTTATTCCTTCTGAAATAATACAAAGTGTTTTCAATTCTGGAAGGGGCTCTAATTATTGATCCCATTTACACCCTTCCAGTTCAGATGAACGTATACAGCGCTGGTGAATCAAAGTTCGATATAACTGTCTCCATAATTAAGTATCAACTTAAACAACATAATACAATTCAGGAAGAAACATAGAAACTCAAAAAGGGTACAAAAATAAAAGCTATAACAATATACAAATACTAACATCCCACAATGGGATTAAACAGACTACCAAAATGTAGAACAGAAAGAGTCAATAAGAACATTTTATAAATGTATACATGGTGGGATTTTCACAAACAAAGCCTTCCAAAAAAGGATTCTGCACATAAGCGACCTGTTCTTTCAATCACTACTCGACAGGTACCCAGAACTTTATCAAACAAGATCATACCAACCATATACAACCAACATTATTGCACACCACATCACTACTGCACCACCACTTTCATTCTCAAACGTCTAGTGATTAGAATCTGAAAAGTGAGGACTTGCCAAAAACGAATTTGACCATTTGATAGACTTAAGGATCATCAGAACATGTATACGTTCCCCGAAAACGAACAGCAGTGATCAGCATCTGGCACCTGTATCTTGCGTTCCTACGAAGTGGCCATTCTGAATTACCCAGAGCTGACCACAATATAGCAACTAGTAACTTTTAAGAGACTGGAAAATTTTAAACGAGGTTTCATACTGAATTACGCATTTCTCGGAAGACCCTTAAATGAGAAACCATATGAAAAGGAGAAGATCAGTATTTCAGATTGTACTGTTCAACACTTTTAACACTACGTGGAGGGCCTATAATACCCTCTTTTCGCAAACCTCAAAACTGTAACGTTTTTTCTTAACTCTACTTCAGACAAGTAATCTCCTCGAGATCCCCGATAACTGGACTAAATCTTATAGTTTGCTTCCGGTGTATGGCATATTTCTATTTAAGGTGATGTAATTTCACATGTTTTGTTTCGTATGACCTTCTTGAATCTTAGTGAACCTTCTCAGATTCAAAAAGAAGACATTTATCATCAGCACCAGTCATGATTGAACATATTAAAACCACCAATCAAACAGATGAAAAGTGGTAGGGAAACTACTTTGAAGCACATATACGGGTAGGGATCGCCCAGTCGTGCTGCAACACTATCAACGCACTGTCTTCAAACCATTGCACAAACTTTCTCACTTAAGTGTCCAAGCAAACATCAGGCTAACACAAAAACGAATTTGCTGGCCTGGTATGAACAAAGACGTGAGAGATTGCTCACATTCCTGTGTAAGCCGTCGGAAGTGCAAGGTAATAAGAAATAACAAATGTGTTTACTGTACGACGCTTCGAATTCCTAGCGGAATTCTGGATTCTTCATCAGCTTCAACATATGTAGACTCAACCTCTTACACGAAAAGACTTACTAACGTAATGCGTTTAGTATAACCTGTTTTTACTCCATCTCCAACTACTGATCTTTTCGTCGAACCCGTTGTACGACTCGTTACACTCGTTTCCATTTGTTTAAACTATTAACATAGACCTCTCAACGGAGTTAAATAAGATGTGAGCATCGATCAGCCAAAAGACAGTCATTTAGAAGGAAACCTCCTCTTTTTTGACCTACCCAGCACATAAGCAAATGACACGACACCTATGACTACGAAACGATCTCTAATCTATGTCAACCGTAGTGAACTTAGTTAGTTTCTGAACAGAAACCTTAAAAATATCACAAAAATTCGTATGTTATTTTCATCTGTCTCACGGTATATATACAAATATATATACTTATTCTTATTCTAGGAAGTTTCGCTAACCAACATAAGCATGACTATATCTCTACATGAACCTCCAATATCCAGTATCTTTTTCACCAGCTGGTATAAACCAATTGATTTCTTTGCTCTCAATCCTTGTTCTTAAGGCATGGTTATCGTAGATTTTCAGCTTTTTTTCTCTAGGACTACTGGAAAATACGAAAAGCAGATGAACGTGTGAAGCTGATTTATTCACTCCTTTTTTTTACATCGTTATCATGAAGATAACTTTTGTCTCTTACGTACTGAAGGAGATTACTTTTGGCATATTCCTCTACTTATGCTTTTCTTAATCGTTGTTTTCCCCTTTATTTTTAGAAGCAGAACGAAAATAATTCTACATCTAAGTAAATGGAAACACTCAAGGTTGAACCAGTTTAGTATTTCTACCATGCAAAGTTTTATCGGTTGTTTTCCAACAGTAGTCGTTTTCAAATTTGCCCTCTGAAGGTCACCTGGCTGTTGCATTTGATGCATGTACGGCTCGTCAGTGCCTATTGGACATATTTCAGATCCTTCCTTTCCATGAGACTTATTAAGCAGTTCTGATAATTTTCATAGGCAATATGCATTAGTCCTACAAAGACAAACACGTGCGGTCTGCGATCGCCTGTAAGCTCTAACCCAATTAGTATTCGTCCAGATGTGCTTAATAAGTTGTTATGCTTCTGAAAGATGCATGTTATTGGTGAAAAACGTCATTTTAGAAAATCTGACAATTTTGTGGTAATAAATACAGTCTATCGTTGATATGACAGTTGACCATCAACGTTGCAACTGTCATTAGATTTGAAGACCGCAACTCGACCTTTGGAGTTGTAATCGACTGACAACTAACTGAGAACTAATACTGATTCCCTATTTATTTAATGGGGTCCGACCTCAACCCACAATAAATTGAGCTGGTATACATTGTCATGCTGAAAACTGAGTAACCCCATCCCTCATTTCAGCAGCTATCTAAGCGCTGATTACCGCTTTATCTTTGAAATAGTTATAAAAACTGAATTCCCCAACTCCACTATCTGTTGATTTCGTACTGATGTTTAACATGATTTCCCGCCACTACATCAATCGTTTTATGTTTACTGTTCATCACTGCTCATAGTCATAGGGTAGTCCCTTTGTTAGTCTTTGTTTTTCTAAAAACTAACTAAATTTTTAACTTCTCTGTTCGTCGACCGTAAGTATCCGAAACTGAATTTTCCTTTAAGACTGTAAGATTTGTATCTAAAGGGAAGAGAGCACTGTAAATGCTTCGTTATAGGTTCCTTCAAGTTTCTGTCTCAGCATTCCCACTAAAGTAGAGAGACGGTAGATTTATGAAGTATGACTCTTCTGTATTTGAAAGTTATAAGCTTTCTGGATGTTTTTTTAACAGTAATTGCAAATTACAGTGTAAAGTTGGTTTTGGATTTATCTACTCTTAGGTCTTTGAATTTTAGACTGATTGGCATCTGAAACAGAAATTCTTTTAGAACAGTAACACATATGTTTTTGTCACAAAACTCACTGTCCTTTAATTGTTTATTACTTCATTTTGAATAAGTGTTTCATTTATTCACAGAGTTTCCGCTGAGTGCTTCTCCGGGTTCTTGTATGGACTTATTTAACGACCACCAGTTTTCCGCATGGTCCCTTTAACGATAACAAAACAGTGCAATTCGTCTGCCAGAGGTTACGTGATATAATACTTAAAATAGTCGTTCCGAAGTACACTCAACAAAAGTATAAATTCTACACATTTTTATCTAATGCCTTTGAAATTTAGTCATGAGTAATATATACGTTACTGAGCCAGCAACTCATGGTAAAGTAATTCTAAAGACCACAGTTGGGGAAATAGAAATTGAGTTATGGTCCAAAGAAACTCCAAAAGCATGCAGGAATTTCGTGCAGTTATGTATGGAAGGATACTATAATGATACATCATTTCATCGGCTTGTTCGGGGTTTTATCATTCAGGGTGGGGATCCGACAGGTACTGGAGAAGGTGGTGAAAGCATTTATGGAAAACCTTTCAAGGTTGGTGTCTACTCTTTTCTCTGTCTTCCATTTTAATTCTGATACATGTAGCTTTTATTTTGTTTTTTTTAAATTTCAGTTTTACTGAATCTTTATCTCTGTTCAGTTTAACCATTAGAAAGAATGTAATTCGACCAAATCGCCTTTAGATAAATTATCAAGATAATCACAATAAAGCACTTAGTACCCCATATATATATATATATATATATATATATATATATATATATATATAATTACCATAAATTAATTCTAGTTCTGATACTAAGTCGTACTATGGTACTCACCACTCTACATCAACTTAATTGATTATGAGAGAGCATTTGATAGCGTGGACAAGACAATACTATGGAGGCTTCTTTGACACTAAGGCGTCCCTGAATAGATAGTCAACATCATACGGAATTCTTATGATGGATTAAACTACAACATTGTGCACGGAAGACAGCTAACAGACTCGTTCGAGGGAAATACTGGTGTCAAGCAAGGTTGCTTATTCCCACCCTTTCTCTTTCTCTTGATGGTCGACTGGATTATGAAGGTGTCAACATCTGGAGGGAAGCACGGGACACATTGGACAACTAGGGCGCAGCTGGACGATCTGGACTGCGCAAATGATCTAGCTTTCCTATCTCATACGCAACAACGGATGCAAGAGAAGACGACTAGTGTAGCAGCAGCCTCTGCAGTAACAGGTCTCAACATACATAAAGGAAAAAGCGAAATTCTCCGATGCAACACAACATGCACCAGCCAAACCACTCCTCATGAAGGACCTTGGAGGACGTAAAACCTTTATATTTCTGGACAGCATCATCGACGAGCGAAGTATTTATTAACAGTTGTCTACACAAAATACTTCGGATCAGTTGACCAGACACCATCAGCAACAACCTACTGTGGGAGAGAACAAACCAGGTTCCAACAGAGAAGGAAATCAGGAAGAAGCATTAGGAAAGGATAGGATACACTGTAGAAAGTACCCAACTGCGTCAAAAGACAAGCCCTCACTTAGAATCCTCAAGGTCGAGAGAAAAGAGGAAGTCAAGGAACATGTTACGCCGAGAAATGGAGATAGACATAAGAAGGAACAACAGTGGGACAGAACTGGAAAGGCCCAGGACAGAGCAGGATGAAGAATACTTGTCGGCGGCCTATGCTCCATAGGGTGTAACAGGCCTAAGTAAGTAGATAGGCAATTAATAATTTTCATTTGACTGTCGATTTAATTTAAAATAGTCATTTTTTGAAGTCGAATTAAATTTACACTGTTTTTAATAAACTTATCGTCACTTTCTTTTACCATTTGTGTCTTCAACGTATATTCAGTTGGACACGATCTCATGTCAATCTAAATGGAAAGTTGGTGTAAGTCCTTCAACTCCTAATAAGGTTGAAAAGGCTATAGCCCATGTAAAGAGAGGAAGGGCAGCTGGTACAGTTATAATAACCCTTGAGATTTCTAAGGATGGTAATCCAGTTTTAGCAGCTATATGAACTGAGATCTTAAAATCTGGGAACTGGGCTTAAGTCCATCTAACTAATCTAAATAATTGATCATCCTGGTCTATAAGAAAGGAATCAGGGATCATTTTAACTAATAGTGTCTAGGATATCAGCTTCAATAATACTTCGGTTCCCGACTAAAGCTTGTGAAAAGCAGACTCAAGAAAATCAGCCTGGTTTTTGACCTGGACGTGAGTGTATAGACCACACATTCACACTACTTCAGGTCCCAGAACAACCCCGCATTCAGACGCCCAACGATAGTTATATTCCTCGAATTCGAGGCGGCGTCCGATCCGGTCGATCGTGAGGTCCTGTGGCAGTGTTTGTCATTGAAAGGTGTACCAGAGAAGCACGTTAACCCTACACACGATCTCTACTCGAACACTCCTGGTCGAGTGAGAGCTTGTGGAAAACTTATCAGAATTCTTTTCTTCGAGCGGTGTCCGTCAGGGTTATCCACTTTCTCCATTCTTGTTTAACTTTGTCGTATACATGCTTTTAGTGTTAACATTATCTTCATTTGACTTTTCAGGGGTGGATCTTCTACTAGGACACTCGCTCGTTGACTTGCAGTTAGTCAGTCAGTTACAACGTAGAACTGCGTACGTAAGTACATCAGTTCAAGTTGCCATACCACATAAGCACAGAGATGATATTGTCAATTCAAATCCCATAGTATTAGATTTAGTAAAAGTATTAGAAGTAATCGGAGAGATTAGGGTTCGAAGATGTTATTCGAGATGTATAATTCAGTCGGTTAAATTTGGAAAGAGAAAGATAGAGGTGATGAAAAATTCAGAAGGCTAGAATTTCATAGAACACAAAGATTAAATGCACCTGCACCATTGCAAACGGTTTTGAGCCATGCCACTCAGGGTCTCTAACCAGGTAGTCGACACCTAACAACAAAAATCAGTCCACTTGTCAGTGACTTCATGGATTTCTGCCATGTTTTGGTTTGGCCGCCCATAGCTTTCTTCCAACCTATTAGTACACCATAAAACATCGCTCGACGAGTCAGTCGGTGGTTAGGCATACGCAACACATATCCCAACCACCTCAACTGATGAAGTTTCATTGACCTGCCATCCTTACGCAATACCCGTTTCCTAACAATTGCATTGCTTACTCGGCTGTCCCAGGATATGCGAGCGATCCTTTGGAGACACCTATGATCGAAAACCAGTAACCCGACGAATATTTTTTACTCTGACTGACCATGCTTCGCATCTGTATAGTAGGGCGGAGCGAACTACTGCACAGTACACTCGTCCTTTTGTCAGCAAACGGATATCTCGCCTTCGCTATAAGTGACGCAGATTGGCAAAATTCAATCGTGCTTTCTGTATCCGTGCTGAGATTTCGTCAGTCACCAGGCCGTCAGCACTGCTGAGACTCCCGACATAAGTAAAGCGGTCAACACGCTCAACTACCTCACTCCCTATCACTAGTTCAGGTGCCGATACAAGTCAACCTTGAAGCAACATTTTGCATTTCGAGGGGGTAAACCGCATCCCGAAGATGCTTGGATTGTTGCTTAGGGTAGTCAGAAGACTGCATTTCGATCCAAATGCCGCCTTAAGTTCCAAGAAGGCGACTATTGTCGGACGCCTAAATGTGTGTCTGTGTTTCAAGATCTGTCGTAGTGTAAAGACGTGGTCTATGTGGCCACGTTTGGGTCTGAAACCAGCCTGCTTTTCTCTAGTCTGCTCTTCACGAGCTCTAGTTAGGCGTCTAAGGGTCATCAAGGCTAACAATTTAGAAACTATAGTAGTTAGACTGATTCCCCTGTGATTGTCACAAGAGGATTTTTGTCCTTTCTTATAAATTGGGACAATAAGGGATTGAGACCAGTCAAATGGGATTGCGTTCAGTTCCCAGATTATACCTAAGATCTCAGTCAATCTAGCTGCTAAAACTGAACCACCATTCTTAAGTATCTCAGGGGTCAATCTATCAGGACCCACTGCTCTCTCCCGCTTCAGATTTCCTATAGCTCTCTCAACTTCATAAGGATTCGGAGGACTTATATCGATTTTTCATTCAGGTTGACTGGAGATCGTGGGCAACCAAAGTATGCTTGGAGGCCAGTTGAACTGATCCCTAAAGTGTTCTGCCCATCGATCCAATCTCCTGTATTGAGAATGAATAGTAAGACCATCCTTTTCCAAGATAGTTTCATTCATATTCGAGTTCCTAATACCGGTTTCCTTGATGAGTCTGAATAGTTATCTACTGTTGCTTATCGCCGTTGTCTTTTCCATCTCCCTTGCTTTCGCCAACCACCACTGTTCGGGGCCGTTGCGAAGGTTTTTTATCAGCGTGCGCCTAAGCTGACTTCGTTCTTCACCATGTTCAGAGCCAGGTGGGATGAGTTTTCGAGCCTCCGTCAGTTCGGTAGATGCGACTGAAATACACGGCTTCATCCTAGCCTTATGGTTTACCTTACTATCAGATATCACTAATGTTTCCACAACTTTTTGGATGTCATTCCAAGCTACCTCCGGATGGGAATCACTTACATGGTCGTCTAACTGTTTCTCTAGTTGTTCCTGAAATATATTCTTAGCTTTATTATCATTAAGTAGAACTCTAGGAGGTTTCCTTGCGATATCTTTCTTGCGTCCAGTAAGTCGCAAACAAACACGCGCTCGCACTAGAGCATGGTCTGAGTCTAAACTAGTGCTCCAGAATCAGCGTCAGTCTTCAACAGAGCCTCTCCACCGATGGCTTATAGCGATGTGATCTAGTTGGGTCCATCGTTGGGTCGGCTTTGGGGGTCGCCAGGTCGAAAGGTGTTTTACCTTAGGCTTAGAGTTAATGTTTTTTAGGAATAGGCGGTTATCTGAGCATAGTTGCAACAGACGGTCGCCATTATCTGTTCTTTGAGCCGCGACACTATAAGATCCACCCAGGTATGCTTCCTTGTTGCTAAGTCTACTTACTTGAGCGTTGAAGTCACCAGCCATTATAACTATATCAGAGCGCTTAACATTTTGCAGAAGTTTAGAGGTTTCTATAAAACTTATATTTTATGTCGTCTGAACTGCAGTCAGTGGGAGCGTAGGCAGATAAGACAAAGAGGCGATGGCGAGTGTTCCTATCCTTCCTAGTCCGTACCGTCCTGTTTATTCGGACAGCGCTTAAGTGACCGTCTACGGGGATCCAGTCTAAGAGAGCTAGTTCTGCCCTAGGACTTAATACTATACTTACGCCGACGAGGCCACGAGAAGCGGAATCAGGGCTCCCAGAAACACGAAGCGTAAACCTTGTTGTGTCTCTATCTGCAATAGGGGAGATCAAATTGATGATTTTATTCGGATCTTGTACGCGCGTTTTGGAGACGCAACATACATCGATCGCTCCGGATTCCAGAGTTCTAGCTAATGAAGCCTGTTGCCCTATTTGGCATAGGGTCCGAACATTAAAAGCTCTGATATGTAATTTAGTAGGGGGTTTCAAGAGACCAGGAATAGTGTTTCGTGAGTTCATACCGTTTGCCTCATTGGTGTGAGGTGATAAACGATAGAAAGAAGGGTCGGTCGATGAGATAAGACAGATATTAGGGGGTGTAGGAAGGATTTGATTTTGACCCGTTCGGTCTCGCATGCTGTTACAGGTATGAAGGCAGTTGTCACTTTCCGACTGCCCACACCGCAGAAGGGTGTTTCTTGAGGGACCTGAAAAGGAAGGTAGATTAGTGTTGGTCTTAACGACCTGGGAGCGTGACTGCAGAGCCCAAGGGACAACTGCTTGATGCCGGTCACGCACGGCCTTTTTATGAAAGGATTTTTGAGTATTAGCTCCGCTCTTAAAGGCCCTTAGTGGGCACCCTTACAACCGGAGACGGAAATCCTTGAGGTAGGGTCAAGTGTGACATTTTTAGGGTCGAGATTTTCTAACCCTTCCTTGCTTGTGAGAAGGCAGCATCGCTGCATATTCTGGTTGTCCGAGGGAAACACCTTACTGCTGTCACACTCCTCTTCAGTCAGCAGTACGACTTCACCTTCAGACCTCGGGTAGCTGCTTTTAGTCTCACCGTTCTCCAATCGACCTGCGTGGCATGGTAGAACCTTCAGGAACATAAGTTCCACCCAATATAGGTCGGTTGGGTCATGACGATAGACAAGCCCGACCACCACGTCAAGGTAGTAGCTACGGTCGGGGTGTAGTAGTAGGTTGGAAGAAAGCTAGGGGCGGTCAAACCAAAACATGGCTGAAATCCATGAAGTCACTGACAAATGAATTGAGCCATGTTAGTAGGTATAGACTGCCTGGTTAGGGTCCGCGAGATAATAGTAACCGATGGTTAGAGACTTTGAATGACATGGCACAGAATTGTTTGTAATGGCGCATGTGCATCCATTCTTTGTGTTCTCTCAACCTTTAATCTTCTAAATTCATCACCACTTTTATCTCTTCCTTTTCAACGTATCTCACTGTATTATACTTCTCGAATCGTATCATCAAACCGTAATCTTCTTCATTATCGCTAATACCTATACTAGCTCTACTACTATGGGATTTGTATTTACAAATTGATCTATCTGTGCTAATGTGGTATGGCAACTTGAACTGACGTACGCATGTACCAAGTTCTACGTTGTAACTTACTGACTGATATTCAGTTAGAACACCACATATTCACAATGTGGATCTTTAGTTGTGCATTCAGTTATCGGAAGTTTTAATTTTCCTTTTACTTCAACTATGACTTCATATTTGGATTGTATTGTAGGTGTATATGATTATATTTTATGATAATTCAAATTAGATATTAAAGCTTCAAGGAGGATTCACAGAAAATAAGGACCTATAAAGTTTAATTCCTCAATTAGAGAAATCTATCTCAGCTTGAGTAAAAGGTCGACGGTGTTACAGATTTCATTATACGTTGTTCATCAACAAACAAAGACAATAATTTTAGCCGTAGAAAATATCCGTCATTCTTTAATATAAGGTTTTCAATGTCAGACATGATAGATCATAATGTCTTGAAAGTTTGCATGTTGATAAGCTGAAACAAAGAAACCAGATCTGAAAATCTGTATCGGGATTCGGTGTTATTTCACGCCGATATATCAGAGCGTAATGATTGTTTCACGCATGTTTATCTACCTCGTTTTTGTTTAACCTTTTATCTTCATCTGTAGTTTCGTTGTAATATCTCAAAATAGCTTATGCTCGTAAAATTATTCAACAATTTATCTTATTCTTGTATTATTCAGACGGAAATTCATTCGAGACTGTCATTCAACCGTCGTGGTCTTGTTGGGATGGCATGCCTTGAAGAAAACATGAATGGAAGTCAGTTTTTCTTCACTCTTGGGCCAGCTACAGAACTTACGGGTAAACATACACTGTTTGGTCGGGTGGCTGGTGAAACATTATTCAACATGCTGCGGCTCGGTGAAGGAGATATAGGTAAAAACGAACGACCAGTGAGGCTTCATCGAATTGTTAGCACTTGCGTAAGTCATTATAAATAAATAAATAAGTAATATATATATATATATATATATATATATATATATACTATTCAAACATTATTCAGACTTATGCATCCCAGCTACAAGGCTCGCTGTCTAAATTCAGCTGTTTTCGTATTTCGAATAGGCAGTTTAATCAGAACATACCATCCACAAATCACTACCAGGTTATTATGCCCACTTGATATACTTGATCCGTATTAACATTTTTGGACATTAAGTATCGTTTATTTTCCGGTATTTGATAAGTGTTCAGTGTACAGAAAATACTGGTTAGTTATATTTATCTATTTAAGTAAAAGCTGTGATATTACTCAATAAAACCTTTTGGGCTTATGCTACTTTGTAAATTTTAATTCTAGGCAATATCAATTTGAAAATTTACTTCTGGCCTCATTCTGTATAAATTATAAACTTGTTTAGTAATGATATCCAATAAACACGAACTATTGTTTTCATATAAGTATAAGAGTGTATGATCCAAATGATTTGAATCACTTGGTTTTTAGTATGCAACACACGATATTATGTTTCCTAGAAACTATAATAGTAATCAAGCCAAAGCTAAATTCTGGGCATTTAATTTAGTTTTTCTAATATCTGCATTTATTGGGTCCGACTTTCTTTTGTAGTAATATACTTATGCAGCAAATGCTTCACTGCTCTTCCATTATGGTAACATCTCCATAATTAGTTATCTATTTCATGTTAAGACCGTTTTTAGCATCGCATTATTTTATATTTGTTTTGTACAGTTGGTTTTCATTCAGTGGTCTTAATATAAGTTTTCTCATAATTTCAACCATTTTTCTTAAGTTATTGCGGTTAACGTCAGGACTGTCAATAGCAAAAATATATTTGTAGTAACCCAGTGATCAGAAAGTTTAAAATTTTCTCATGTTTCATGAGTCATTCTAAGCTAATTCTTCAGAAAATAAACCAATTAACTCAATTGTAAATGGCATAAATGAACAATGCAAAAATAATTAGTACAGTCAATTAAAAACAGATCCGATTTTATCAATGTTATGTCATCCTGGTTAAGGTGATTTATATGATAAATATTTGTGTATTCATGTGTGTTATCGGGTGTAAAAAATGTTACAGTTGTAATTTGAAAAGATAGAGTTGAATTTGGATGTATGGTAACGGTGTGAGATGTGAAGAGAATCAGATATGGCAGCTTCGATAAATTGTCCAGGTCGGATGGACAGTAAGTTGTCCTTTTCTATTAAGCGTGATAGGATTTAACATTATGTAAAAAGCATTAGCTACTCACCTTTCTTTGTAGTTGTATTGTTTTCATATTTTTGATATCGCATTGATGGTTACTGGCGATCTCATATACTACAAGTGATGATCTAGTTGAGTCTTCCAAGCTCTACATAATTATTCAGTGGCTTTTGTATACCGTAGATATTTTTCGGCTTAAACTTAACCTTATCTATCTTCAACAGGACATTATACGAACAAAAAAACTGAGTAGCAACGGGATTTCCATTATTACCGATTGTAGCTAACCTGTTTGTCACATAACGAATCAAATATTTTCGCAAACTTGGCTCAGATATGTGGACGATACTGTTGACATCATGAAAAAGACTTTGCTACGAGCTTTCTCTAAACTGATCAATGCTCTCTCATCTCACATTAAATTCATGTACGAGAAATAAACTGAACACTGTGTGCTATCATTTTCAGATTGCTTCGTAAAAATAAATCTAAGTGGGGCTCTAGATATAAGCATATACAGAAAACCAACACACTCTAGTCATTATATGGACCTTAATGCAGCGCATACATTCAATGCAGAGATCTCTATGGCTATTTAGTCAGTCAGTTACTACATAGAACTTCGTACGTACGTACATCAGTTCATGCTGCCATACCACATTAGCACAGAGGCGCAGCTGTCAGTTCAAATCCCATAGTAGTAGAGGTAGATTAGGGTTCAAATATATTTTTCACAAAGTGGAATTTAGTGAAAGAAACTTCAAAATAAAAGATAAAGGTGCTGATGAATTCAAAAGGTTAGGATTTCACAGAACACAAAGAATGGATGCACCTGCGCCATTGCAAACTGTTTTGAGTCATGTCATTCAAGGTCCCTAACCATCGGTTACTATCATCTCGTGGTGCCCCAACCAAGTAGTCGACACTTATCAAGATGACTCGATCCAGTTGTCAGTGACTTCATGGATTTGCGCCCTGTTTTCATTTGCCTACCCCCTGTGTATATGGCCATTATAGTTCATGTACATAAACTGTGACTTTCACAGGTAAATAAGGTTGGTTTTGTGGATATTTTTGCAATCAAACCTAGATTCGCATATCTCAAAAACTTTAAAAGTATTTACGTAACTTAATTTTCTCATAGGTTGTACTCAACCCATATGATGATATTGAACCGAGACATCGACCAAAGCAGATTGTTAAGTCAAGCTCCGAAGAGGAGGTTAAGGTCACTGCAAAAGCCACCAAGTAAGTCAACTCAGTAGCTCTGTAGAACGTTTAATTTCGGTTATTTTTTCGTCTTGCTAACATAACTAGTCATAAAAGATTTAGGAAAGAAGTCTTGTTTCAGTGATTGGTTATAATCATTTATGATTGTAAAAAATAAAATGGGAACAGACAGCACCAATCAACGAAAGTAATAATTACTACAATGGGTCGGTCATGTTTATCATAATACTGGTGCCGGGTAATCTTATTATTTAATCCTCGGGTTAGATACTATTCAAATTAGTTAAATTTACAAGGGATTGTGTTACTACAAAGTATCTGCAAGTAAGGAGGTGTAGTTAGTAGGCTCAGTAATAAAACGATTAAACATTTAAAATTCTTATGATCCCACTTGTAGATTTGGATATACTTACAGCTGTAAGTATATATCAGACATTTTCTTGGGAGAAGTAAGTATCGATCCAGTGAACAAAGAATTGGAATGGTTTTATTTCACAGATAAGTTGTGGTAAATTATTCCAGTTTTAAAAGTTTACTGGTGACGCAATTTATATAGAGTGGAGATTTCGAAAAAGATAGTTGTACTAATGTCGATGAGTTACGTAGGCTACATCTAGGAGTTTCTGCACATCAAATCACTTTGTTGGATGTAACTGATAGTTTACTAAGTATTCTGAATGCTAAGTTTAAATAATCTCTGAACGGATTGTGGCCTTAATTTATTCTTAATGCATTCTTTATACAACTAAGAATAAATGTACCGTATTCAAGGAGTGGTCGAACACATACCTTATACATTAAAATACGTGGCTTGTTGTGATATGGATTACGACTTATGCAACCTAAAAGACTTTGGGACTTTGAGGTCTGTTTATACACCTGTTCTGAGGAGATAAATTGTAGGAATATCTTAGTCCTACTACTACCACTACTGTATCAAACTTCGATAACACTACTATTTACGGTTAGGTTTAAGTTGAGTAAAGGGTTACCAAAGCAAATCTATGCACATTTAGTTGTATTAAACTCCAGATTCCACTTTGAGGACTACTGGGATACTTTGTTGAGTTCCATACTTATTCAGTTTAATATATTGTTAAATTCATAAGGAGACAGTGAATACACCACTTTAAGATCGTCTGCAAATAGAAGGGGATTATCCTCACAAAAGCAATCGCATATATAAGCAGTTCATAAAAGCTAAAATGAGCAAAGAACCTAAGACACACTATTTAATCTTGAATCAGACACTCCGGGAGAGCAGTACGTTTCAGTGAGAAGTACCTAACTTCACTCAGCTCTCGACATTACACAACCGTCTTCCAATGTCGTTGAATGATAACTAAATCACATTCGACCTAGTTGAGTTGTACTGGTCACGGCTTCTCATCATAACTCCAGGAATTGTCTCTTAAAATTATTCTCAAGTGAGAAAAATCTCACAGTTGACTTTCAGCATTATATCTGCTACTATTATTCCATCTTTTTGTTTCAATTTAAATTCGTTCATCATTTTACAACACTTACTGATATTTCTAAATAAAGCTATTTGCCTACAAAGTTGCCTGTGTTATACCATTACTAATTTTGTTAACCCTTTTTTATTTTGTAGAAATTTTTCTCTACTGTCTTTCGGTGAAGAAGCCGAAGAAGAGGAAGAAGTTGTAAATACAGTTGTTGAGGTGATTTTTAATATATATACTTGTTAGCATTAACTTCTTATGTACTCACACATATCTCTAATGAAAGAGTTAATATGATGTATTTCTAAAAAAACTCATTATCTTTATATTTCGTTTACCTTTTTCCAGAAATTTCGACAAAAGAGTAAAAGCGCTCATGATCTCCTTTCTGATCCTCGTCTTAGTTCAGTCCCAGTGACAATAAGCGATGAAGATGCTGAAGTAGTTAATCGTGCAAAATCAGAATTAGAAAAAGAAATTCAAGAACGACAACGAAGACGTGCTGCAGCACAACTTCAAGAAGATGAAGCTAAAACCAAACGAATGTAAGCCAAACGATAATTTCTCGTATAAATTTTGTGTATGGTTGAAAGCAGAATATCGTATCGTTTTATTGTTGGTGTCTTTCTGCTAAACATACTTTTCATTTGTTGTTTTTCCATGACTTGGAACTTCAGATGAGATCCATAATTTCGACCCTATGTGTTGAATTTGGCTTGACGTTTGGTAAATGGAAAACGCTTCCGTTTTTATTTAAATGTCTGTCGGTAGAGAAATAAGTTGAAACTCGAAGAATATTTTTTACTTTAGGTGATTCAAATTAATGAAGAAAAAGTTTTTGTTATGAAAGAGAATTTCTGTGATTCCATTGGACGAAATTCCGACTGTTAAAATCAGCAAATAAGAATGCTAATCGATTGATGGTCGCAATAGTTCAATCTTGTAAAATGTCATTAGCAGTTGGAGGAAATTAGTTTGTAGTCCACTCATTCTCTAATCAGTTAACGACAGGCTTTTAGGTCTGATCTATGTGCATCGTAAAAACCCTGAACGTGCATCTCTTAGTTAGTCGACACTACTTAAAAGTGGTATTGTGGTACAAATTTATATCTCTAGGGATTGCATTTATGTCAAGATCATTGGTATGCTGTACATGAGCATTCATAAGCAAGAAATCTAAATCCAGAATGAACTGTTGCTTTTCTTTAACCAACCAATATTCAGTAGTGTCGTATCTACATCAGCTAAATCGTCAAAATCCTATAAGCTCACCATAACTGGCTGATAATTGAATGAAACGTTATTAGCATGGATAACTGTTATGTGTTTTTCTAAAATCTTTTTTAGTGAAATGTTGCGACAAGAAGCTGAAGAATTACGTCGTCAAATTGCCTTATCAAAGCACGCCGAAAAGAATAAACAGTCGAAAGAGAAGGAGGAATTAGAACGTAAGGCTCGTGAAGCGCAAGAGCAAAGAGAACAAGAAGAAGCTGCCTTGGCTCGCTGGGAGGCTAAACAAAAAGGTGAACTTGATGGGGATTCAAAGATTCCGCAACCGTTGGTAGATGATTTAGACACTTTTTCAGCTGATTTCGCCAGTTACAAAGCAAAATCAAAGAAAGCTATAAAGGTGAGATCAGGCTTAATAATTGTATGTTGCTAATTTATTTGAATCAAAATTATTTTACAAAATTTATAGCTTTGCTTATTAAATACACTAGATTTTGAATTTTCCCAAAGCTATATGATGTTCGCTCATTACTTACTTAAGCTGGTTACCCTCAATGGAGCATAGACTACCGACCAGTATTCTCCAACCTACTCTGTCCTGGGCCTATCCAGTTCTGTCCCACTGTTGTTCCTTCTTATGTCTATCTCCATTTCTCGGCGTAACATGTTCCTTGACTTCCTCTTTTCCCTCGACCTTGAGGATTCTGAGTGAGGGCTTGTCTTTTGACGCAGTTGGGTGCTTTCTGCAGTGTATCCTATCCTTTCCTAATGCTTCTTCCTGATTTCCTCCTCTGTTGGAACCTGGTTTGTTCTCTCCCACAGTAGGTTGTTGCTGATGGTGTCTGGCCAACGAATACGAAGTATTTTGCGTAGACAACTGTTAATAAACACTTGTATCTTCTGGATGATGACCTTTGTAGTTCTCCAAGTTTCCGCTTCATACAGTAGAACTGTCTTGGATATCAGCTGATATCGTTTTAGAATTGCTTGAAATGTCCAATATTTAATACAAGTCAAACATAGATCACAATATTGATTTCTGTTTGAGTATATTATTTTTAAGCAGTTATTTTATTAAAATATATCAAAGTATTGAGTGTTTATTATCTGTTTCTTGTAAAATATTTTTGATTTTCCGACAGTGCTAGCTACTAATTTCGAAAAAGTGACACTTTATGACAAGTAATGATGAAGACGAGTCCATAAGTGCTGAGTGGTCTTAGTTATGGATTAGATTCTCGTATATTATAATAACTTTAAATAAAGACAGGTCGGTACTTATTTTTCTTTAGGTTCATTTCTTGCATTGATCCATATATTCCCCTTGAATTCTTCAAGTGAAATATGATAATTCCTTTCTTCATATTCCTAAAATTCAATATCACGTAGATTCTATCAAGTTTTATAATATTTCTTCGTATTTTCTTACTATCAGCATTTGTGAGAAGAATCTCGCTTGATTGTATATGATGGCAATGTGTTTATTAAAAGCAATCCTAATTGTGAAAAAAACTAGTGAAATTGTTTTAGCTCTTTCTTTTATTTTATCAAAATAGTTCATTGGGAAATTATGAACTATATATTTATATATATATTTCTTCATTTCTTTACCAATCATGAGAGTTGTAACGATGCTGTTTGAAAATAATTTATATATTTATTTTAAAGGGTTCTGAACGTGAAGCTGTAACTTTATCACTGTTAGAACGATTCGGCAATCGTCTTCGTAGTGTTATTAGCTCAGAAAACTCAAATGATGAATCTTGCGAATGTTCACCTATGGATGATTGGTATGTTTGTTATTCACATTGAAAAATAATTTGTTTTATTTATTAAAAAAAATAATACGTACAATTGTTGTGTTAGGTTCGTCACTAAGTACGCTTGAAACTATTACGGGTTCACCTTAGTCGATAAACGCGAACGAGACAATAAAGCAGCGTCCAGGTAGGTTGCTTTGACCCGAAAACGGCAAAAGAGATGTCTTGATAAGCGTAGAAAGTATATTCTGCAAACACCCAATAAGCACAATGCCATCAAGCACACAAATCTCGTTTATTTATACATCATAGAAACGTCCTTGGGACAGTCACAAAAATAGCACACAAATATACACAGCAGCCGATCACAGCCAAGGATTTCCCTGGTGGGAAGTGAAATCTCAAGGTCAACTGATCAGCCCGTACTCGCAATCGTGAAATCCAAGATAAGGCATTTATCAAGCGCGTTTTAGGGATCTAACGTCCCCAACATGTTGAAATATTCATTGTAATAGATACATGTTATTTATTTTGAGAAATTAATGATGAAGAGTTAGTGGAACAATTTAAATTACATAATGAGCGTTTGAGAAAGATTTGTTTTTTGCCGAAAGTTCCAGTTTCGTACCTATGTTACCCTCCCTCACAAGTGAATTTCTTTCGAACATCTAATGTGTTTATCAAACAAATACGAATCACGAAATGTTTTCTGTGGAGCACTTTAAGAACTGAGTTTTTGGTCACTATTGAAGTCTCAAACCTTTCTTCATCTCGTTCACTGTTTTCATCTGTCAAACAACAAATATAACCTGAAGTTAATCGTTCGAACTTATTCTGAACTTAGTAGTACCGGCTTCGAACAGTCACATTTGAGTGTTGTAAATACTTGAGATCCGTCAAATATATAAATATTGAATAAATATTAGTACATTTTATGTTAAAGTAATTGGTGTTAAATCTGTTTCTCACCTTTCGTATTATCATGTTCTGCTTACCTTGCTTTATCGTGTACCATACTGTACTACTGTTGATAAAGTAACGCTCGAATTTTTCCTTCACTCTAGTGGACGAACGCCGTGACGTTTCTTTACATACAGTTCACTCTCTCTGCACTAGGTACTCAGTCATCACTATTCTACAACACAACTGAGACCGAGAACACTTGATCCACCTGACTAGAACGTGTATTAATCAAAAACTAACAATTAATAATAATAGAAAAGGTAGAAAAATATTTATGACACATTGAATACCTGTCAGACCATCCATCAATTTGTCTACGTGAATAACCGATTACTATTTTTCTTCTCACACACAATACATGACATATTCAGTCCCCTATTGTAGGAGCAGACAAATTAGTCTAAAAAATGAATTAGAAATTCGTGTAAAAGCGATCAGAAGCAAGACAGTTTGAATTTATTTCTCGGAACTATGGCACTTTATATCAAATGATCAAAAAATAACATTTGAAATAAACTCAATCTCTTATCTAAGCAATTTAAGAATCAAAGATGTATTCGATTTCAGACATTAAAGACACATTCCCCCCGAAACGTTTTCAGAATTTCAGGGATAAAAAGTAAATTTCCACGATTCGTTGAATACTTCAACTCACTATTATTCCAGCCACTTCATTTCGTTTTGACATTCAGACAACTGATCTTTACATTTAGACTGAAATAATAGACCTGCAGTCTGACAACGATTCGAATGAACTTTTCAAATATATATTCTTGACTAATTTTTAGATGTTGTTGGTAGGTGATAAGTGTTATAATTTAAAAAGTTTCACGCGTAAAATATTAGTTTTTTGGATCAACTTACTCAAATATTCGTAACAATATTTCGGTGTTTGAGTTCATTTTCTTACCCGTTATAATATTTACTCTTTCTTTGATTACTTAATCTTCGTGAAAAAGCTTATTTGTTTTAAGGACTATTCCTGATTCACATTGGCTGATAAATAGATATGATTGATCCCTACGAATTGAACTTCATTTTTGTCTATATAAGTTGTGACAGACAATTATTTGATTTTGTTTTTTGAAAATTCATTTTCATGAATATCAATTATTCACTAACTACTCAAAACATTTGCATTATTTTGCATTTTGATTCAGCTGAAATTAGACTTATTCATGTTTTTGCTTAAGTTATTTTAGTATTTTTCCCTTTGCTAACTTCTATTACTGCAGTGACATGTAATAACTGTAAATGACGCATTAATGTTTTATTTATGGGACTCACTTATACATTAACGCCGTCGAACGTCGGCTCAATAGTCTAGAAATTGGCCGTTCGTGCATGAGACCTACAGTCCTGGGTTCGATTCCCACTCGCGAGATCATGGGTGCACACTGCCGAAGAGTCTTGTAACAGCCCGAAACGGCTGTCCAGTGCCTACTGGTTTCCAGTGATGGTCTAACAGTAATCGGTTCATGGTTTTGATGTTACGTTTTGTTTATGTGAATATTTCGTATGTTGTTCCTTTCTTTGTCAGATTTACTCTTTTCATTTCAATATGTGATATCAGTCAATTGGTGATTACTAAACTATTTACTAAAATATTCACTGTTTTAATCAGTTTCAGGTTAGCCCACCCGCATGCAGAAGATATGTTAGAATTTGTATCTTCACATGATTTATGATTTTCAGTGTTTTGTAATTTAAAATTATCCATCTCATTTTTCATATTTCAGGATGAAAAATCGACTAGTTTCAGAAGTTCCGACGCCAGCTAGAAAAGTTCTTGATCCTACTATGCCACATCCTGATCGTTATGATTTATATGATCCTAGAAATCCGCTTAATGTTCGTAAAAGAGGTGGAGATGTGGAAAGTGCAACCGAAAAAAAATCTCGACGTGTTTAATGAGTTTTTGACAATTTGTTCTTTTGTACATACTCGATTATGAATGTATTTTGTATTACAGAATATAGCAAATTTCTCTTGATAAAGCAGACAAGTTGTTTTCTAGTTCTCAGTTCGCTTTCTTAAAAAAAAATTAAGTTTGTAAACAACTGAATTTATCAACGTGCTATTCAATACTTGGATATGTGTCTTATGCTCATGATAAGCTTCAGCTATAATTGATATTTGATAGATTGTATCAATTAATTCAAAGTGTGTTTATTGAATTATGAGACAAAAATTTTCAATGTTCATTTAGTTGAACTCAACATTATCGTCATTTTCGTTTCTCTCATGAGTTTACATGGAATCGATTGTTTGATTTCCGTTTTGAGTAAATAATATGATATTCCTGGAAATAGAATACCATGTTTTTCATTAAAACTACAATAAGCCCAGTTATTTATAAACAAGAAATTATTCATAAATTTGAAATGATCACATGTTGAAAGCTGCTTACTTACTTACTTACGCCTGTTACCCCCAACGGAGCTTAGGCCGCCCACCACTTCCACCGCTTCTCCCTGATTTCCTCCTCCACTGGAATCTGGTTTCTTCTCTCCCAAAGTAAGTTGTTGCTGATGGTGTCTGGCCAACGAATGCGAAGTATTTTGTGTAGACAACTGTTCATAAATACTTGTATCTTCTGGATGATGGCTTTGGTAGTTCTCCATGTTTCCGCTCCATACAGTAGAACTGTCTTGACATTTGTATTGAAAATGCTGATTTTGGTTTTGTTTGAAAGTTGTTTGGAGTTCCAGATATTTTTCAACTGTAGAAATGCAGCCCTCGCTTTGCCAATCCGCGCCCTCACATCTGCATCCGCTCCACCTTTCTCGTCGATGATGCTGCCCAGATATGTAAAGTTGTTAACGTCCTCGAAAGCATCTCCATCAAGAGTGATTTGGTTGGTGCATGTTGTGTTGCATCGGAGAATTCTTCTTTTTCCTTTATGTATGTTCAGACCTACTGCTGCAGAGTCTGCTGCTACACTGCTCGTCCTCTCTTGCATTTGTTGTTGCGTTTGAGATAGAAGAGCCAGGTCATCTGCGAAGTCCAGATCGTCCAGCTGCGTCCTAACTGTTCACTGAGTACCGTGCTTCCCTCCAGACGTTGACGTCTTCATAATCCAGTGGATCACCAGGATAAAGAGAAAGGGTGGGAGTAAGCAACCTTGCCGGACACCGGTCTTCACCTCGAAAGAGTCTGTCAGCTGACCTCCGTGCATGATTTTGCAGTTGAATCCATCATAAGAATTCCGTATGATGTTGACTATTTTCTCAGGCACCGCGTAGTGTCGAAGAAGCCTCCACAGTGTTTTCCTATCCACGCTATCAAATGCTTTCTCGTAGTCGATGTAGTTAATGTAGAGTGGTGAGTTTCATTCTTTCTTTGGTATTTTGATAAGGTATCCTTCTTTCCAATCTGATGGTACTTGTTCCTCATCCCAAATCTTCTTGAAGCGAATGTGAAATATATTTGCAGTTGCTTCTACGTCTGCTTTGATTGCCTGTTCTGGAATGTCGTCTGGTCCCGCTGCTTTGCCGCTCTTGATTTGTCTGATGGCCATGCTGATCTCCTCAATCGTAGGTGCGCCAATATTAATTGAGAGGTCCGTGGATGCTGCTTCGATGTTGGGTGGGTTCAGTGGAGCTGGTCGATTCAAGAGTTCCTGAAAGTGCTCTACCCACCTATTTCGCTGTTGTTCAGTGTTGCTGATTACTTTGCCTTCCTTAATTTTCACTGGTCGTTCTGGTTTACGATAGTTCCCGGCGAGCTTCATTGTAGTTTCGTACAATTGTCTCATGTTTCCTTCTCTTGCAGCCTTTTCCGCCGTCATTGCTAGATCTTCGACATATTTTCGTTTGTCAGCTCTGATGTTCTTCTTCACTTCCCTGTTTGCTTCTGTGTATGCAGCTTGTGCGGTAACTTTCTGCGCTCTTGTTCGGCTGACATTGATTGCTGCCTTCTTGTTCCTCCTTTCTTCAATTTTTGCGAGAGTATCAACAGAGATCCATTCCTTATGATGGTACTTCTTGTGACCCAGAACTTCGTGACATGTTGAAGTGATTGCCTCCTTCATCCCTTTCCAATTGTTCTCCAATGTTGCTTCCTCTCCATTGAGTAGATCCTGAAAGGCCTGGAACCTATTGTTGAGGGCTATCTTGAATTCGTTGAGTTTTACGGTATCCCGAAGAAAGGCCGTGTTAAACTTGTGTGAAGTTGTCTGCCCCATTGTCCAGTGTTTCTTTAGTTTCGATTTCATTTTGGCGATTAGCAAATGGTGATCTGAAGCTATATCAGCTCTTCTCTTGGTTCTTACATCCTCCATAGTCCTTCTGAACTTTTTGTTGATACAGATATGGTCAATTTGGTTTTGAGTAGTGTGGTCCGGTGAAATCCATGTGGCTTTGTTAATGCGTTTTTGCGGGAATATTGTGCCACTGATGACAAGTTTGTTGAAGGCACATAGGTTTGCAAATCTCTCACCGTTTTCGTTCCTTTCTCCCAGTCCATGTCGTCCCATGATGTCTTCATATCCAGTGTTGTCCATTCCAACCTTGGCATTCAGGTCTCCCATAAGAATCGTCAAATCCTTTGGTGAACATTTTTCGACGATTGACTGCAGCCTTTCGTAGAATTGATCTTTAACGTCGTCGTTGTAGTCATTGGTAGGTGCATAACATTGGATGACGTTCATTGTAATGTCCTTTTTCTTTGTTTTGAAGGATGCTTTAATGATCCTCGGCCCATGAGATTCCCATCCTATCAGTGCCTTTTGTGCATGTATGGACAGCATCAGTGCAACTCCTTGTGTATGTGAAGCGTTTCCCTCTTCATGACCAGAGTATAACAGCAGTTCCCCTGAAGCAAGTCTCAGTTGTCCTACCTGTGTCCAATGCGTTTCACTGATGCCGAGCACCTCCAGGTTGTATCTTTTCATTCCTTACGCAACTTGAAATAGTCTTCCAGTCTCCCACAATGTGCGAACGTTCCATGTAGATTACTCTCATATACTGTACCTAAAAAATGGTTGCTCTGGTTGTCAGAAGAGGCATCGGCCCCGTTACTTCCGAGGGAACTCGGCTTTCAGCACGAGACGTCATAATTCTTCTTCCAACTCCCAGGGCAGAGTTAAAATGGTTTGAATTATTTTTTCTGGTTAGCGTTTTTTTGGCAAGTTAGATTTCGACGGAATGGGGTCGCCAACCCCATGTCCAACCCTCCTCCTTAAATGGGCTTGGGACCGGCAGTAGCCCTTAAGGTTCTGCTGGCGGGGTTGAAAGCTGCACTTTCATTTATTAATTCAACCACAACACCATATCTCTTCAATAAGCGAATAATTAGTCATATCTCTCTTCAAGTGTCTGTGATTGTTTCCATTTCCTCGCCAGGATGATGCATCATGGTTTTTGATGTTCTCTTGTCCTAATGTCAACTTGTTTAATGTAGCCCAGTTCAGATTGATGTACCGGCTTGTGAGAGTTTTCAGTGCTAACCAACTGATTAATCGGAAGTATTCAGAATTGAGGTCGGAGAATTAACCCAGTGGTTGTATGTAAAGTTATGTAAACATAAACCTTTCGCTTCTTTCATTTACTGATAAATCATGTTGTTTAAGACAATGAGTCGCCAGCAGTTTCTTTAAATGTACTTCTGGCTTCGAATACAAAAATGGAAGTTACATTTTGAACGATAAGGATCAGTTTTAAGAAGACTGTATTGTCGTATGTCCAATGTTATTAGTTATTACTTGTGCTTTGTTAGCCAAACTTGGTTTCCGTATATTTCACATTTCATAAGGCTAAAGCAGTTACTTATTAGTTTTCAGTACTATACCTCTAGTACCACCCTTCATATTTTTAACAAACGTTTAATGCTGTTGAATGTGGTAATTCTTAATCGGAGTATACTTGTTGATTTAAGATTAATTCTAATTATATATAGTGTCTCTCAACTAAATCAATATTTAGCAATGCTCAAAGATAAACCATAGAGTAATTTTCATATCATCTCCATTCCTAGAATTCATATTTTTAGGTGGCAAATATAACTCATTTATCAATGTACAACTGACACCACAAGGTTTTCCTTTATCAAAATAATATGATTTCTAGTTTTATGAGTAGTATTAGTAGTAGTATTCGGAAGTCAATTATTGATTGGCATACTGATCGAGCGTACAATGGCTTCGGAAGTTGAAACTATTCAAGTGTGATAATAATAATGTACTCTTTATCGTTTTTCTGTTATAATAACTAATTCAGGTTACTTATTATAACAGTTTAGAAAGTTTTGCTACTATTATTAGTCTACCCTATCACCTATTCATAAATAACGCTTAACCGAATAAACAGTGGGTAATACAATGTAAATGAAACAGATTTATTCAACGTAAAATTAGAATAAATGGGTTTAAAATATTCATGAAAACCAATTATTTAATGTACATATAGTGGTAAATGAAATAGTTTGTTGAAACTGTAATTGGTGCTACAATGGCATCGCATCATTTCATATATTCACTTAGGTTTAGTTATATTGTGAATTCATTGATGGAGGCACTTTGAACATTTATTGATTTATTCGTTTCATAAACTAATCAATCCAGTTTCTTGTTTTCTTTCTTTCTAGTTTAGATACAAATATACACCCTTTGTAATAACTAATGCTTGGATAACGTTCAGTTTAAAATGCTATAATCAAAGACTATTAGTATTCTCGAAGTTGGCGTTTATCGGCACAACTAAAATTAGTGTTCAGCGATTATTGCTCAGTTTTGGACAAAAATATGTTCCTACCAGAGACCTACTAATAACTAGAATCAAACATCACCAGGCCTAACCACTGACTAAGTTTAAATTTACCTTAAACTGAGTCTATCATAAGGGGTTTGTTTTGTAAGTAACTAGTCTCTCAATTTATCCAGATTAGGACAAGGATACCTAGTAGATCATGTTCTCTGATAAAATGCAACAGAATATCAAATCACTGAAATTTGTTAAATAAAACTATGTCAATAGCAATTTTAATTATACTAGATTTTGATAAAGAATACGGCGTTGTAAACCTCAGAGTTACTTAATTTTCATTGTTTTTAGTGGGATAGACTTAATTTTCACTATCTGTACACTTATTGGTTAATGAAAATGACGTAAATTTCAAGGTTATTTTCAGCTTGACTCATTTTGTAAAATAATTATTATTAACTAGTTCATCTTCATTTATATTCTGTTTAAACTTTATTCTGCTCATTAAAGATCTGTTAACGAAAACGATTATTATCATAAATGTTATTATCAATTATACAATATCTATTGACTTTACCTTTTGTATACTTTTATTGGACTAAATATTTCTTTCCTTTCTTTAAGTAGACAATTATCAACTTTTTTTAAAATTTTATTCAAAGTTTGAGCAACTCCATACACACACATGTAGGGAACGAAATGAAAATAGACAGAATAAAAGAACAGATTAGAAAACGATAACAATAACAACAACATAGAGGAGCATTGAATGTCTACAAATGAAATTGGGATAAGAGTTTAAATAAAAATTTAATCAGACCAAATGTTGAAATATTACTGAAATGCCTAAATTTTAAACAAATATTCATTGTTTGGTTTGTTTGTGTTTAAAAGGGAATGAATGACACTTTGTACTGTGTTTTTAATCACCTCAATAAGTGCTTGTGTGTAGTTGAACTGGCTACTTAACGAAACACAATCTTTATTATTTGTTAAGTTTATTTTCAGAAAAAGATTAACGAAATAAAAGCAAAGATTCAAACGATCAATATAATCTATCTTGTTGCCTTTTACGATAGACTAACTGATCTAGGATAGAATAATTTTACTTGAAGGTTTAGCCTTTAGTATGTTTTCGAAGTGTTAAATGACGATAACTGCAACCATAACAATTGTAATAATATGAAAAACCATTAAACCTATAAAATAGAACGATAAATTAAGGAAATATTGTTTATTTTTGAAAAAAAAAGACAAGTAAAGGAGATATACCTTAAAAAATAAAATGGGTGATAAATACGTGTAGTAGTGTTGTAGTAAAGAATATTTTTTGTCTGTGTACAATTGTGTTTCCTAATATTAGTGGAATAAATGAAAAGAGATTAGTTAGTGGGAAATAGGTTTGCAATGAAAACAGTAGTATATTATTAGTATGAGTAGTAGTAGTAGTAGTACTATACAAAGCATATGACCACCAGTCTTAATCCTCATTCATGATAGCATTGTTACCTGTGATCATTTCAGCTGTACACGGCAAAATATATCAGATAATGTATAAAATCCTCTAGTTTACGTAAGTCTGTGTATTTACGTGTGTGTCAATTAGTTTTTGAAAATAAGAACAGTGACGAAAAAAACTCGAAGTATGCAGAAATTCTCACATTTCCTCATTATAATTGACTTAGAAGAGTTTTGTGTAACTAAACACATATTTCAAACCAAACAGATAATCATAATAACAAAAAAGAAATAAGGAAAAGTTTCAAAACGCTCGAAACTAAAAGAGAAAAACTATTGTTTCAATTCTGTCAGTTGTGCTGATGACGATATTGATGTAATTGACTGACAAATTAATGTCCAGCATCATTTTGTTGTTTGGCTTTCATGGCAGCCGATATAAATTTTTTAGCAGTTTTAATTGTTTTCATTGCTGGTGAATTCATATCACTCGATGATGAACGACCAGTGGTTGAAATTGTTTTACGTGATGGATTTGATTGATTTGAATTTTCAGTTAGTAAATTAAAAAAGAAAAATGCTAAACTGGCATTGATCAATAAGACGAAAACGATAACGAAATTAGCACGAATCCAATCCTACAAGAATGTAAATAATAGATTATAATAGTGATAACATAAAGAAATAAGTGAATTTTCTTTTTTAATGAGAACAATATAAACTATAGTGATATATATATGGATAGTGGTTAGCAGTGAAATCCAGGATTCATGTTTTTCTTTCTGTTTATGGCTTATCATTTAGGTGTACTTCCATCTTATTCTTAATGTTTATCATCGAAGTTATTATTCATTAGTTCAAACAATCCATGCATTTTCAGCTAGTCTACCAATTCGCAATAGCGACCAAATTGTTGTGTGATATTTACTATTATTTATGACAAAATAAATATGTAAATACTAGTTTTGCTCAGGCATCAGTTCAAAAACCCAATACGCCAATAGACACTGACTGATCAAGTTCAGTCCTGAATATCACTTGACAAAAAGCAAAAACGTTTATCAACAGCAATTATCAACCACCTCTATATGCTTCTTCGTGACTGTAAGTTGATACATGTGAAAGTTTTGGTTAGATATAAATAGAAGATAAATGGCATTTTACTGACGATGAAAGTTATTAAAACCGTAGATATATACATAAATGAGATAAAATAATAAGGCTTTTGTGCTAAAATGTTATGAGGCTCGTCCTACATCCTAACATTTATCAATGTTCTGACTGACTGATTTGCTATACTATTTATTTATTTGTCTATTAATAGATCTATTTACCATCATACCTTTTCACTCAACTTTATTCTGGGAGTCTGTAAATTATATCAAATTGCACCCAATATTTTTGTACATGATACTGAAAACTAATTATGCTGGTACTTAAGCTTTGAACTGGTAGCTTTACACATGGTTTTGTTCTCTATATCATTGGAATATTCATACTTCTAAGACTTAAATGTAAAAGGTTGTTTGGCTACTTGCGACTTGACCAAGTTGACAAGGACAAACCATGTGACATTGTTCTGACTATCGAATTCTAGTCTGACAATTTATAAAAGTTTACTATTTATTAAATTTTACCTTAATATCGGCCAAGCGTATAACAATTTCACCTCGTTTTCGTCTTTCCATTTCATGATATAATTCCTGTCTTCTGGCTTGACTTAGGCGTGCAACTTCCTCACGAGTAAGTTCTCCAGAAACTGGTTGTTGTACTGACCTATGCCTTGAAGGACTGTCATATCTATCCGCTGTGTGACCGTGATTTATGGAAATATCTGGCATACTGGCTTCTTTAACGGCTCCAGGAAGGTGAATTATCGATTCAATAAGATATGACTTAGGGAGAGGTAATAAGTCTGGTGTTTCTGGATCGTGAGGCTGTTTATTTATTTCAGATCTGTTAGCTGTAACTCCAGTGTTTTCCATAGCTGGTCTATATGGATCATATGCTCTGTTTTAAAATAATGACGAAAAATATGGTTATTATTTTAAATAAAAAAATTTAACTTGGAATTTTGTATGTTTGAAAGCCAGGTTCAATATTCATTTAAAATGTTGCTAAGCCGCTTATGGTGCAAATTTCAAAACTGAGTTGAGAATTCATCAATTTTTTATGATTTGAGGTGTACAAATCTAAAATCCACTTCTAATGAATAATATATTATGATTTTATGTTGTATAATTGACATGTAAAAATACAAGTATTTGTTAATCTACAGAAATAATGATCCATAAGACGAATTTGAATGATCATACATTAGTGAAGAGTTCGAATACACTATGCAGTTAAGCTATCTGTAATTGTTTATTCACTACTTTTCAAAGTCTACCAGATATCTCTGAGTTTAAATAATTAAAAGATTCTTTTATTTAGTTAATGAAAATCTATAAAATGTGTCCATCAAGAATGGATTGTAGGTATATTTGATCATGATTGGGTATGAGTCATTGTTCTCCATAATTAAAATAATCGAATAAAAATGTTGCGTCGCCATCTATTCAGAGATACAATTTAAGTCTCATATAGAGTAAACCCAGAAACAGTTAAACAGTAAACTGAACAGTAATCTATTAAGCTACATACTATTAATCTGAACCTTGTATACATACGCAAAACTTCTCAATAAATCCTCAGAATAACAGATTCAAGAAATAATATGGGTCATATTTGTCCATAAGCGTTTAATCTTTATGCCTTTCTAGTTTACTTCAATGTCATTCTATTTTGCTAAACTTTATTTTTATCAAACTGTAAAATGTAACAAGTTGTATTAGAACAATATTGTTTTCATTTAGATCGTCAGCAGACTTTACTCTTCTAATGTGTATAAATATTTATATGAAAATGTTTAACCGATGAAGGTAATTTGATTCAATAATCAAAATGAAATAGATTACGTAATTGCACATAATAAGTTAAAATACAAGTTGATAGTAGTAGGAAGACAGGTGCGCTGTTAGTGGTAAGAATGACAAAATACGATAGTAAACGTTGTTATCATTAGTTCAACATTGGAGATTGTGGGTCAGACGTGGAACATTCTAACAACTATGTAATAAGAAGTGTGTCCAGAGGTTAGACGTTCGCGTGCAAGACCGAAGGTCCTTGGTTTGAGTCCTGCGAGGTGCGGAAGTCGTGGATGCGCACTGCTGATGAGACCCATACCAGGACGAAACAGCCGTCCAGTGCTTCCTGGTTTTTAATGGTGGTCTAACATTGATTGATTCCTGATTTCAAATGAGTAACTTAACAATCTTCACGACCCCGTAATGCAATAATTAGATAGAGAAGAATATAAACGGAAAGATGTGGAAAATTACAACCAAATACAGGGTGTGAAAGTAATGCTAATGATTATAAAAATAAAATCGTTTATTGTATTACATTTGGCCAAGGAAGTGACAGACGTATCACAAATTTCGAATTCCTATGGCTTCTGCTATATATAAGAGGTCGGATCGAGCTCCTTTGGGAAATGATTGAGGTATAAGATAGATCACTTGATATGATTCAGATTTATCTATATTGTGACCGCTTTCAGTCGGGTGTGACAAGACAGAGCCGCGTATTGTTTTTATCTGGCCCTTTCTAAACCATGCTAGGAGATGTTCATTCATTCATTGGTTAAGTTGCCTGGTAATACTCCCGATATATCTATTTCCACAGTAGAAGCTGAATTTGTAAATTCACATTGTGGAGGCCAATTCAGGTAACTTATCTTTCGTCTGAGTAGACATCACTGGTCGACTGGAGAAAGTCAACTGAAGATTGGTTGCATAGAAAGTTCTACCAATTATTTTCGCTGATCTATCACGCAGGACATCGCTTATCACATCTCTGTTGAATTGTAGTTTAATGAATAGAGGTTTCCTCTGAACAGTCAAAGCCTCCGACTTCTTTCTTAAGGTATACATGGACTTCTTTAAGAACGCACAGGAGTAGCCGTTCTCAATCATTAAGTTGGTGATAAGTTCCAGCTCCTAACTTAAAGTATTTACTGAACAGATCATTTAAATTCTGCTTAAGAGACATCAAAGCAAATTTCTTTTCTGGCAGATATGTGTAAAACTGTGGAAGTGAGTATGGCAAGCAGAGGGACTTCTTCTGTACACCCTTCTACTTAACGAGCCCTCATTCACCCTACTTAGAAATCCAGCTTTTTCTCACCTTGCCTTGATCGGTTTAACATTGTCATATAAAAATAATGCATATTAGAGTATAGCCTGGTGACAGTATTGTTCGCTTACATGTACTGTTCTAATTTTCACAAATTTTATTAACAAACTTTTGTTCTATATTTTACGTTCATATGTCTCTCTGCACATATGTTCACAGTATCTTTAAAAACTTTGAATTCAGTAATTACTAAATATTATTTTTTATAGTTATGATATACTATTTTAAAGGTAAACTCACGTAGTCCATTCTGGTCTACTACCTTCCAGATAGTTAGTATCTGAAACTTTTTGAGGTGATCCTGTTAGTTTTGTAGAAATTTTATTGCGTTGATTTTGCTGACGATGATGAGACTCGGCTTGAACTCGTTTTCGAATTCCATTCTCAATGATATAAGTAGCAGCTGCATCAGCTGGTAAATTTTCAGCACTATGTACAGTCTGATCGTCAATAATACAACTTAATTTAGAACTGAAATTCGATCCCTTCGTTGTAGTATTTCTTCCAGGGTTTGATATTTTCGACCCTGGTTTAACACATGCATTCCTAGTGGTTTGAATAGGAGGTTCAGTCATTATCGACGGTAGAGTTCTACGTCGCACCCTGCTTACTGACGATAGTGGTGTTCCCAGTGGTGAAACAGCTTCTTTTGATAATACAGATTCTTGTTCCCAATTATCCATGATCGTTTCTTCATAATTAGTCTGACCATTAAAATTCATTTCCATATTTAACAAATTATGTGTTTGGGAATCATCCACATAGCCAATATGAGCACGATATGTTTCACATGGCTGTACAAGTTGGGTTGTGCCTATTCGGATTTCAGTTGATCTATGAGCTCCAGTTTTCATAAGCTTGGCACTGCTAACCGTTGGGGAATGAAGGGACGCTGTATCAGTAGGTCTGTTGTGTGCACGTGGCATTGTACCATATTCGAATCCTCGGCTGGAATTGTTTTGTGGTTCAATAGGAATATCCAGTTGTTGACTTGCTGATGCTATTAGATAAGGTGAATGAGGATGTTGAGCTATATGCTGTGCAAATTGTTGCTGTTCAGATGGTGAATTCCCTAAACCAGTAAATCCAGTTGTGGCAGCTCTAGCTATAGGTCTTCCAGCTGGACTTCGTTGATATCCTGATGCTGTGTTTTGTGGATCCATTTGCTTTTTGTATTGTATTTCCGAATTATTCTCTTTCCCAACCCCATGAAATTCTTTTGAGTGGTATCTTTGCTAAATAGATATGGTTAAGAAATTTTAATTCAAAAATAATTCATCTTAATGAAGATAAACTTTAAACTATTATGAACAGCTTGTTTTACACTAAAATTTCTTCATTTTTTGATTCAACTATTCTCTTTAACTGGTATGACATAAAATAAACTTGCACTACAATGACCACCATTAAAATTGATTATCAATTTTTTGTGTGTTTAGAACAAATGATTTTCTCATTAAAAACAAAAGCCATAAGTTAAAGCGAGTTTCTAACTTCATCTATACATGATGTTTTGGTAGATTATACGATTCAATGGCAAGACTGAATTTATCTTCTTTAGTTAATTAGTTCATTAGTTTTGTTTGTCTCATAAGTTTATTTTATAATAGCAAACAGAAATTAGTGAATGATATTCAGAAATTTATCTCATAATGACAAAATCATAATACTTTCAAATGCATAACACGATAAGATAATATAACGACCTGTGTTTTCATGAATTAGACAGGGGAAACAAGAAAGTAACGATTTGATACAGATTTACTGTAATTCATTTTTTTGCACTAGAAATAACTAGCATAAAAAAATTAATGTCAGAATTATTTATCTTTTGGTGCTTAGATTATTTATAAAAATAGGTGTTAGCTTTTCTTATCACTACGCTGATATATAATCTGATGTAAGGGAACTTGATATTAATCTGGACTGAACAATCCCCTCTGATTGACAGCTTGAATAATTTGTATTTTTCTCTATACTGTCAAATTTCTTTACATGTTAAGAGGTTAACTTACAGCTCAAGTCACAGTAAAACACTGAATCTAGGACATTTTAAATCCAACTCTTTGTTTTGACTTACTGACAAGACATTATTGATTTTTTGAACTCTATATTCGGTAAATTCACTGAATTTCAGTTAATTCATTCATAAAACATGTCTAATTAACGTTTAATTGGTCTGATATTTTTCTGAAAGCAGTTATACGATCTCAGTCAAGTTATGCCTTAGTAATTTATGCAAAAGGATCGACAAAACTTGCTCTAAAGTAAGATAAAACATTTTTCACCAAATACATTGACTGTAGTGAAGAAATTATGCAAAACAAGTGTTTGAATTTTACTAACTTAATCTCAACATGCTAGTTATTGGTAATCGACAACAGTCTCGGGAAAAGTTTTAAGCAACAATAATTTGAAATATAATTGTTTCATATGTATCTGCTGAGAAGCTTTCAGTGTTCAACAACGTAAGTATGATAGCTAAATGTCCGACTAAACAGTATAATGATCATTTTTGGAAAATTGATCATTAGATTTTGTTTGTAGCTAGGAATTACAAACGAGTGGACAGTAGAACTATATCTCGTACATACATTTGGCCAACTTGAAAGCAATTTAAATTGTTTCCATATAGCTTCAGGTTTTTCAACTGTGTAAATGTGACTCAAGGGCTTCAGTCCCTGTAGAGGTGATAACTGAGTCGGAAGTCAGTGGTTTATATTCATAACATCAGTACATTCGTAATACAGTACGATGCTCATCTAATGCTGACAGTGGGCAATTGTTTTAATGTTGAAATTAATTATTCAGAAAGACGTATCGTTAGTATGACTTAAAATGTTTACTGTTCGGACGGGTTATAACCCGCATTTAAGAAGAAAAAAACTATCCCAAGATGTAACTGAATAAACTGTCAAAATGATTTCACTTACTGTATCTATGGTAGGATTAGATGTTTGAGTTTCATCTTGGTACTTGTAATGATCGTTTGGATAGTGCTCGCTTTGTTGTAATCCGGATGTAACATTCCCGCGACGGCGAAAACTTGAACGGAAACTACCCTGGCGGCTTCCACCGCTTACTTCTAAGCTATTGCCAATTTGAGCAGAATTATCTGGACCTAGAGTGTTTTCTTTTAACATACCTTGGGCATGCAAACTGTTAGGATCGGTTCTTCTATTTCTAGCTGTTACATCCTCTTCATTATTTGAACTAAATCCAAAAATATCTTTTTTCATCAAAGGATTTTGCTTTTCCCACATAAGTCCTGTAAATAATTAAAATATATAATTCATAATTAGTTTTAGGTAAGGGGATAACTTTTTAAGATGGATTCTATGCAATTAATTGTATTGAGAATGCATGGTTTCAGTTTTTTAACGAGAATCTATTAGTAATTTATCTATTATGACGCGGCTGTACCTCATATTCGATTTATCATCCCTTCAGCACTCAATATCGAATTATCAAGCTGGTTATCTGTCTATTTTAACTAGTATGAATGGAATACCTGTAATCACATTTTACGTCTACAAATGAAATATTTTTGAAGTTGTTTGTTGCAGTTATCTAATTCATCTGAAAATATTCACCAAAGGTTAAATAAAGTTAAAGTTTTGGCTTCTCATACTAAATAGTTGTTTATCTGTATTGTTTCATATTGGGTAAACATTAGTTTGTCACATACTTATTTGTAAGATGACTAAATCGGTTAAAAAAACTGACAACGTTAGGTAAGGAGAAAAGAAAACACACTTTTTTGAGATGGTTGAACAAAATAGTTGTATCGATTTTAAAAAGAGGAACTAATTTGGACAACCTAGATATGAAAGAGGAATTTGTACGATAAAATAGTAGTTACTTACGAGTAGTAAAGTTAGTTGGCCTAAATCCCGAAAAAATTATCAAGAAGTACTTGTTATCCTGTATAGTTAAACTGATATTATTCTGGTTCGATGACAAATTTCATAATCATGAAACGCAAAACATTCAATTTATTTTCTATTATTCATTCTGTAACTTCAATTTTTAATATTATTTAGATAGTATTTGATTTCTTGATAATCTCTCATTTTGTATGCTTTCAACCTTTGGTTTCTTCATAGTGTAAATAAGGTACAAGAAGAGGTTTATCCTATATTGTATTTGTCTGAAAGTCCACTAGATGACTAGGGAAATGAATGGAACTAGATCCTTTGTCAAGTTGTTGAATGGTTTTAATGGGAAACAGCACACAATATTCTTCTTGTCTTACTTTTAATTCTGACTGGTTTTAATTTACACTTCTTTGAATGATCTCATGTTAGATAGATAAATTTAGGTCATCCGGTCATGCTGACTGTGTCAAAGTTATTGACTGATAACTGATTATTATGATTTAAAGGAGTAATAAGTATTCTTCGTAAAAGCATGCAATACTTTAGTGATACTATTAACTAGAATGCATTTATCATAGTGAGAGGAAATGGTGGGAAAGGAGTTTAGAAAATAACTACTCAACAGTTTTGTATGGCTAATAGAAAAATCGATTCTGTTGATATGGTGGTTAAGAATCAAGTTAATAACTGACCTATAAAAGCATTCATTATACAGTAGTGTATACATATGAATAGATTTTGGCCATTTTTATTTCATAGCAAATGTTTCAAACATGAATTTATTAGTGCACTAACGGAAATAAATTTTGCTGATCAGCTGTTATGATTAATGGTAGATGCTTTTATTCGATTTCTTAAGGTCAATGATGTGGCTTTTTTGAAAAGTTACCATTCTACTACTTCACATTAGCTCACGCACTTGATTGAATGATTGAAAAGAACATATTTCTGCCGTTTAGTAATGCTAGACTATGGTTATCTCTAGGACTTAGTAATATATGATATCGATTATTAGTAGTTAATCGACCATTGAATGAGTTGTTATATACCTCTTCTTTTGACGCTTGATTAATTGCAATAAGATTCACCCGATCACATTGTTATTCGGTTTCTAAAACATATTAAAACTTCCAAATCTTTCTTGCCATTAGTTCGTAAGCTTTCACCACTACAGTCATTTGCTTCGATATTCGAACGCTCATAATTAGGGATATTAATGTTTCTGTTGAACAAATGATTTTTCGTTTGTACAGAGTATGCGGGCATAAAACACATTATACTAGATGCAATGAAACCCCTAGCTGATTGAATTCACCTTTTTAAGTCAGTTAGATATTCAAAGTAAAATGACATAGGCTACACACACTCAACAGTCAAATGTTTCTCAATATTTATACAGTGGTTCCACCTCAGCTGATTATATTCCAATGTTATTTTAAGCTCAGAATCCAAATAGGAATACTTACCTAACTGAACGAACTCTGGAGAAAATTCGCGTGCAATAGCTCTGGCTTCTTCAGAAAGTTTACGTGCTTCTCGAGCACGTGCATCAGCTGTACTTGCTATTGTTCGTGCAGTTTGAGCTCTAATAAATGAAAGTTAATTGAAGAATGACTTTTTAATTTAAAAATGAAAGCGTTTTGCTAAATGTACAGAGATTATGGATGTGAAATAATCATGAATTTCATAGGTTCAGTGAGATAAATAACTGGATTGAGATACGGACTTAAATAATCTATAAACAAAGTTTATAGTGCTAAGTACTTAGTGCGCTGTAAATTGCACACTAGTCAATGCATAAGCTTGTATCAGTGAAAACCACAAACGGCTTATAATAGTAAAAATGGAATTTTCAGTTATTTTTTTACATGAATTCCTAAATCCTGAGAATAATGTCGAATATCCATTTACTACCCATTGAATACTAGTACTGAACTAGAAATTGAAGAACTTTGAAATTACTTCTGCATGATAAAATGGGTAAGTTTAAGAATAGTGAAAATTGTATTTGAAATGTAATAAAAGTTAGAATATTTCTGGTTCGGTCAGAGGTTCTTGTTTTTTGATAACTCCTCTGCTATCCAAACAGTCACTAGTTCTCCTTCTCAATGATTTACCTATGTAATTTTAATACGCTGTGCTAATGTAACTTTAAGTGAAGCATATATATACCAGGCTTTACTTTACGTATGACTCATCGCTTGAAGAAGATGCAGCAACTGTTTACTATTCCTCGGTTGACTGTCTAACGGAATCTTGGACAACCATATCAAGCTAAATAATTTTTTGGCCCACTTTCACATTTCATCAAGGAACATAATACAGTTTAATATATTGTCATTCATAATAGCTCATAATTAAGTGCAATCATTGAAGTAATCTATGTATCTTAAGACAAGAGATTTCTAATTATCGTACTTGGTATACAATTATCAAGTTATAATATTGATATTTATTTGATGTTCGCAAAGCTGAAATTTCTGTTTCCAAAATATGACACTAATCGGACAATGAGAAGACAACAATATCATATTTTTTATTTGCTTATTTACTACAGTCGAATTTTATTGATCAAGTTTTCTTTAACTAACACTGACTTACTTACTTACTGCTGTTACCCCCAATGGAGCATAGGCCGCCCACCAGTTTTCTCCAACCAACTCTGTCTTGGGCTTCCCTTTCTAGTTCTTTCCAGTTTTTGTTTATTATTCGCATGTCTTTCTCTATTTCTCGGCGTAACAATTGACACGTCACCTCATTTTCATTTAATTAAGCAGTATGCTCAGTATATATATATATATATATATATATATATATATATATATATATATATATATATATATATATATATATATATATGAAAATCCTTCTGTTTGAAGTTAGAGAATTTACACTATTGTTCAGAGTTGAGTGTATCATGGTTATGTCATCAGCATATGACTTCTGTGAACTTATTGTTATAGTGTACAGTCACCTATTTATGTCTATTGTAAAAAAGCATTAGGGTGATTTATCAGTTAGTGAATTTTTAAATGCTTACAATCCGCTGAATTTTTTATTCATTTTTAAAATAATTTGTCCTTTTGATAAATTTATATTCAGCGAATATAAAACAGTTCTGATAATCTCCACCTGATTTGCATCAAACATACGGATTGAATATTTCCAGAGATATTTGATAAATTCATTAGGAAAAAAACAATATCTTCTTGACTAAACATTATTTCCGGCTTTTTTCCGGAGCTATTTAGGAACATCAAGACAAAGTTATAACGGATTATTGACTAAATATTTCATTGAATTTCCTAACTTATGAGGAGGTCATTTGATGCGCACTTCGGCTTACTAATAGCTAGGTGAATGTAAAAGAACAAACATGATATTTTAAGTCGCTGGTAATTCAGAAAGGGATTATTTCAAATTACCTTTGACAGGCTGATTCATACGAACATTCTTGGGCTTTTTTCGCTGCATCTTCAGCATTTTTTACTGCTTCTTCTATGGCATCCCTTAACTTTGTATGCCGAAGCATAAATAATTTGCTTTTTCTGTTCAAGGCTTGAACAAGTATATTCTCCTTATATCTTCCTTCCTCTTTAGTTCCATCTGTACGATACGTAACGCCATATCCATCCTTTTTATTATTAAACCATTCTCCTGCATAACGTAGTCCATCCGATCGTTCAGCAACACCATATCCTGAACGTCTATCTTCATTCCATTGACCACTGTAGGTTTCGGTAACATTAGGTCCTAATGGTTCTTCCATGAATTCATGAAGCCCTTGACCTCCGTTCCCAACAGCCTTTACGTCTCCTCGACCAAATGAGTTTGTTGTTATCTGACTTGAAGTGCTGATATTTGATCTTAGTGATCCACCCGGCCGGCGTCCACGACTGTGAAATAAACCACCACTTCCACCACAAGTGGAAAATGTACCGACTGACCTTCCTCCAACCATTGACAGATCACCCGTTGACTTTTGTTTTCGTAATTTACGAAAAATACTCCGTTTAAAGATGGATTTCTTCTCTGTTGTTGGAGTAGCACTTCGATAACCTGAAGAGCTACTTCTTGAATTATTTGACAAGGAGGATGGTAAGGGGCAAGATGTTGCACGTAAAACAAACCCACTTCTTCGTTCATCTGGTCGACCTCTTTCTGCACTGTTTCTGACATCACCACCACTTCCACCTCCAGAGCTATTTGTGCCTCTCCAACCGCGTTCGGAATCTGTTCCCGACGGTAAACTATTTTGGGACTGAGCTGCGCGTACTGTGCGATTGAATTCAGCTGCTAGAGCGTAAGGAGCTGAACGACGAACACCAAGACCCTGACGCATACCCTTAGACCATGCTCCAGCATATATACCTATAATGTAAAATATTTGTTAGTCGTTGATCATGAAATCATAGTATGTAGTAAAAGCTTATCTGAAAATCATAACTGTAATAATAATTAACTTAGAACATATTCTACTAATGATTAATCAAGACAGAAATTTTCTGAATTCAAGATCTGCTGATTAAATAAGGTACGAATTTAAAAATATTCAGGTTTTATTATTACTACTCAATATGAAAAGTAAATTTCTACAAAAATAGTTAAAAATGGCCACCGTTTTATTTTAAAGAAATCTTGACTTTGAACCTAATAAGGAAAAACTATTTCTTTAAATCTCAAAATGTTTGAATTATCGTAATAATTCTCATCAACAATCTTCAGTTAAGGTGTTTTCATTCCTTATCCTGTGTATATGTATGTTATAATACTATGAACAATGACTATCATCGATATTGTGGTTAACATGTGTTAACCACACTTTAATGTTAGCTTTAGTGACAGTAGTAATTTTATTAGTCGATAATATGTTGTAAAACAATTTCTTTTGAAATTCCAAATGACATTTATCACATTGGACATCGTCGTTGTAACTTTTTTTTTGGTTAAATGCTTCATTTTAAGGACATGTGTATCTAAGCCTATTTTTGAATTTATTTATTTTTCTATTTGTTAGTAAGAACAACAAATGAATCGAGTTGCTGTTGTTTTACGCATGTACTACATTGGTGTGTTTATGCACACCTATAAGTAAATGTGTTTTGTTTTTTTTTTAAAAAAAACAATGAAATAGAAAGATAAATGGATAAATTTATGGTAATATTTAATGATAATTACTTATTCAGCAGTTAAACACAAAGATGATTTGTATAATTTGTTTGCTTTCAAAAATGTCAAGCTAGTTATTTTCATTGAAACTGCATTCAGAATTGATTTTTGCTTTTACTGATAAATTGTGCATTTTGTCGCTATGAAACAAATGTACACTTTTGTACAGTTATTGATAGTTCACTATGTTGTTTGCATAGGTTGTTCTTCATTAATTTGTTGACTTTACGGAGTGGAATCAAAATTTTTTATCGACCCTGACAGTTGAATATTTTCAGGGATATCAGGTTTGCCTCAGAACTAAATTCTCTAATAATCAAGAGTATTTTTCATCACAATTGGGAAGCAGCATATAATCAGACTTTATTTGCAATAAGATTTTCTAGAAAAAAACTGTGCTGCCGAATTCAAGTAAATGTAATTGTTAAATCACTTGTTTGTTAACAAAAAGATTGCCAAAACCATGAATCTGTCGCTCGGAAAATGATAAAATTAAATTATCACAGCGGTCCCGAGTAGTTTATTCATATTTTCGGTTTAAAAAAGTGTTTATCAACTAAAGCAAAATATTTTTCTCTAAATCACTGATTCCTTTTGAAAATAATAAATGTTTCTATGGCTAATCGATATTTTTATGGATGGCCTGTCTTAATATTCACGTTATTCTGAGACAAACCAGCAGGAATTTCAGCAAATTATTTAATTATACATAGTTGAGAATTTTAATATTCCTGTAATTAAAACTGCTACTTTTAATCTCTTATCATCGTTCAGTTTGTGTGTTTTACTTTGTTATACCAATTATTTTAAGTTAGGAATGGAAAAAATTTAAAATAATAAAGAATAAAATTTACTTGTTCGGACTATAACTTTATCCACATACTGATTCGACAGTATGATGGACATCTGCAAGTAGAAATTGATTGTACAGTAACTATGCTCTGTACTTTTCATTTCGTTGTTTATAGGTTCTTGTGGTTTAACAGTACACTTTAATGGTTCATTCATTTACTGGGGAGAGGATGACGATTTTTTTGTTAATTTTAGTACTAGTTAATTTTTCTTCATCTAACCTCCCAGTTTTCTTCATATTTTACTCTTGGACATATGCTACGCATGTCCAACCGCCGACTGCCTCAATGGGCGATGGTTTGTGATGTAGGAGTAGGTTGGAAGAAAGCTAGGAGCGGCGAAACAAAAACGTATCACAAATCTACGAAGTCACTGACAAGTGGACTGAGTCATTTTGGTAGACATAGGCTACCTAGTTAGGGTCCGCGAGAAGAAAGATAGACCTTAGACAACATGGCTCAAAATCGTTTGCAATGGCGCAGGTGCATCCACTCTTTGAGTTCTTTCAAATTCTAATTTTCTGAATTCCTCATCGCCTCTGTCTTTCTCTTTCTAAATTTATTTCACTGGATCATACTCCTTGAATAATATATCCAAAACCTAATCTTCTCCATTACCACTGATACTTTCACTATCTTTGATATGCTTGCAGCTATTACCGGTTCACCTTACTCGGTAAATGGAATGAAGATCAATGATTCAGCGGCACAATAGGCTACTCTAATCCGATCGTTCCAGACCTCACTAAGTAGAGGAAGAAATATTGATAAGACGTAGAGACAATGCATTCACAGGCACCAAGAAAATACGAGGTCTCTAAGCATTCAGCTCAAGCTTATTTATACAATGATAAAACGCCCTTGGTAACAGCCACAAATCACCGTACTAAAACAATCCATCGACCAAGGACAGTCATGGATTTCCCGAGTGGGAAATGCAAGCTGAAGGTCAAAATGATCGTCTTCGGTGCGAAAACATAAAATCCAAAATCTCGAGATGAATTTACAAAATTAAGACTATTTCCAAGTGAGTTCTGGGGATCTAACTTCCCCAACAATCTCTAACACTATGGGATTCGAAGTAATAGTTGCATCGCTGTGCTAATGCAGTGTGGCAACATGAACTGAAGTACGTACGTACGAAGTTCTTCGTTGTAACTGACTGACTGGCTGACTGATATTTTCCTCATGACAGTATTTTTGCAGTTATATTGACAATGTCATATCCAAACATTGTTGTCATAAAATTATAGCGGTGGAAAGATAGAACATTATGAATCAGTCAACTGGATTTTACACTTATGTGAAATGATTGGTTTTTAAATTTGAAGATGATATCGTTTCATGTATCATAACAAGAAGAGTTTTTGAACGTTGATCACACAAACCTAACTAAATAACATAAAGCTTAGATCTAGAGTTTTGTGTGCACTAACTCTAAAGCAAATAGTATCGTTTCCCTAGAACTAAAGAACTTAAGAACATTAGCATTAAAAATAACTTTTTTTAAAAAATTTACATTAATAACACAAAAAGAAACTTTGTGATAAAAGTCTCTTATTTTGAAACACACTTGTAAGACAAAATAGATAAACGCAGTATAAAACTACAGTCATTTATTTCCTGTTGTTAATTCATTGTGTATGATGAAAACAGAGACAATTTTTTAAATTAAAAACAATCTAATCTGTATGAATTACTTTAAATTAAATTACGTTTTTAAAGTGACAATTTTATCCGACCAAAAATGATAAGTTTAAAGAGGAACAACAAGACTAATAACGATAGAAGAATAAACATTTGTCTATATATGTATTTGTCCATTTCAAATAGCCTTCACTTGTAAGAGATAATAAAAATGCAACTTAGTAAATTGCAATAAACCCATTGGAATTAAAATAAATCTCGAAGCAGAAAGATTCAACATAGTGTAGTTAATATTTTCAATTGTAAAAGAAATCAACAATCCGTGGAACAGTGTAGAAAATGAACTGTCGGTAGATTCTTTAATATTTATAGAGTATAAATCAATTGAAATTATGACGTGAAGGTGAATTTAAAGAATGGAGCAACAGTTACAAGGTTTTATTGAAAACAGTTGCCTTCAACTACTCTATATAAAATTTTATAACTTCAATGTATAATTTAATGAAAGTTCGAATTGTATATTTTAGATTGATAAACATTTTAAGTAACTATTTTTCGGGTTACATAAGAAATTATTCTTTACATAATTCTCAACTAATCTAATACAAGAATTTTCTAAATAATTAAAAAAATAGACAGCTCATTAATTATATATTGATGTAATACTTGACTATAAGAACTAGTCTTTGTGCAAGAATTTGTAATACTGCCTGAATAACTAAATGAAACTATCTGAAATCAAACATATTAGACTCATAAAGACTACTAAAGTATCTTTTGAAGGATTAATTTCACTAATTCAATGAGAGTCAACTTTCATACTCGTAAATAAAATTTTAACTAAAAATAAACTGCTTATTTGCTTATAATTTAAAAGTTCTGTTCTAAAATAATTTTAATATATGCAAAATATTTTACCTGAAAGTTACCGAGATATTTTTACTTGTATATTTTGATGATAATAGGCAAAAGTGTATTGATCAGTTTGGATTTTCTCTACCGGTATCGAAAAACTGATCATTACTCTAGTTTTCTGTTTCCTATATTCTAAGAATAAGATTCAACATTTATTTAAAAATATTTGGAGTAAAAATAAATTAATGAAGCAGTCCCTCCTGATTTTAAAATATTCACCTAGGTAATTCTTCATGTGGAAGTTAACTCAACATTTACTAACTACAAAGGGAACAATACATTTGACTACTAGTTAGTTTTTTAGGGTACTTTTCTCAAGGTTTTGGTTTTAATTCAAGAAGGAACATAGAGCGAAATTTCCCCCCAAAAAAATATAAGCAAAATTGTATCAGTCAATTCACATGGAAGACATATATTTTCTTTTAGAACAATAAAATGTGTTACGGTTAGTCATTTATGCTCTACGGTTTCTAATACAAAAAAATCAGTTGCTTTTTGCATGTTGATCTATGATTGAGCCTTATTTCTTCAAAATATTCTGTATTACTTTTGTAACATACTCCGTACAACGATTAGTACACTGAAATATTATTTATGAAGAAGTTAATATAAGTTAGACATTATTCACATAGCATATAATCCAGTTTTCGATGCTGATCAACGATCAGTCTTAGAACCTCCATTTATATGCCGAGATGTTTGTGAATTTGAGGTTGGTGGGCATAATTTTTGTATCATGAGTTCTTTCAGATTAGTGCTGGTCTTTAAAATCTCTCATTGCATCTGTTT